AAGATGCTGATTAGGGTTCGCGCGGGAAGGGGGAGCGCTCGCTGTCCGGCCGCGCGTGGGGAGAGAGAGAGAGAGTGGGTAGGTGGGAAAGTTTGCGCCTTTGAACGCCGACCCTTTCCGAGGCCAGACAGCAGAAACACTACCTCTGTGGGCAAGCAAGACGCGTCTCGGGACAGCTCCCGGAAACCGCTTTGGGTTTTTGAATGCGAATTATTTTGACGCTGTCTCCAAAGCGAGAAGTTGTTATAATGGTTGGGGTGTGTGTGTGGAGCGGTTGGACCTGCCGCAGGGATATCGCCTATCTGCTTCTGCTTAGCAGGCGGGGAAGCACAGCGAGAACTTCTGCTTGGCAAATGCCATCGCGCTGCCCGGGATGCCAGTAATGAGCCCTGAAAACAGTTGGCAAAGGGAGAGGGAAATGGAGGTCTGTTCCAAGAGGAGGAGGACCCCCTCCCTCCCTGCCTGCCTGCTTTCTCTGGCCACCATTGTTATCTTCCTTGACGGTGCCCGTCGCCCCCCTCGGAGCCTTCCTTCTCTCGCGCCGCAGGGACCTCCGGGTCTTAGATGTGAGGCGTGTAAATGTCGAGCCTGGCAGATCATTTGCCGAGTTAAACTTTGGCAAGTTTTTTTTTTGCTCACTGACGGGATGTGCTGGCCGTGCATTCCCGCACAAAGCCCTGGGAGAGATAACATTAAGGGGGAACTTCCCGGGAAGGAGAGATTTACCGCCGGGTGTCCTTTTCTTCCTTTCCTTATAGGCTCCAAACTCAGCGCAGACCAGGCCTGTACTGTATGTGTTTACTCACAAATAAAGAGTGCCACTACATTAAACCCGAGAGAATGGTAATAAAGGTTGCAGCTTGGGTTTAGAATTATGCAGTTATTTATTAATAATTAAATGGGCTAGTCATTTGGTGTATCCATATCTACTAAATCACTCTTGTCCCACGGTGGAGGTCAAGGCAGAGAACAAAGGGTTCTTCTGTGGTTTCCTCTTGTGGCTGTGTTCAGCCACAGACTGAGTGGGTAGCATCACACACCCTTAAACCAGACTTTGAGAGGGAACTACTTTGGGGGCTACAACTCCAAGAATCCTCAGGTGGTCTGGAGTTATGGCCAGCTAGAGATTCTGGGAACTACTGTCTAAAAAAGTAACTTTTCTAAGTACTGTATTTGTTTCAGACTTTGGTCTGGTAAGGACCTGATGTCTAGTCCTCTCATTCTGTTTCTGTGTTTTAAAACCAATGTAGCCTGGAGACATGGCATCATCCGGTGGGACAGCAGTGCCCTGACTCTTCTTCTCCCCTCCATGATGTGTAGAGAAAAAGAGGAACTATTTCTCTTTTAGTCATTATAATGCTAGAACTCAAGGCCATGCAATGAAATTTACTGGTGGCATGTTCAAGATAGTCAGGAGGAAGTAGTACAGAGTGCAACACGGTGTTGATTTATGGAATTCTCTGCCACAAGATGTGTTGGTAGTGAGGAGTGTAGAAGGCCTTGAACAGGTACATTAATGGAAGACAGTTCTACCTATGGCCCCTGCTAATGCTGGATGTATAGAATTTCCGACGTCAGAAGCTGTAAAACCAATGGTGGGAGCAATGGTGAGAGGAGAGTTGTTTGCAGAAGTCTGGTGAGCTTCCTCACTTGCTACTGTTGAAAAGCAGAATTCTGAACTATTTAGACCTTTGTTTTCAACACAGCAGACTCTTCTTGTGTTCCAGAACTCTTTTAAGCTCAGAACTGCCCTTCCTAACATAGTATATACAGTATGTGGGGAGACGGTGAAAGGTAATATCTCCATTGATTTTGTTGCACTTGAATGACTGGTACATCCATACTGTATATGTCAAATTAAGGGATGGTAAGGATTAGCAAGGTACAGGATGTGACTTAGGGGTACATTTATGTGATAACAGTCTTTATTAACTCAAAACAATGATCATCCCCATTTCTCTCCTCACACAATTAGAGATTAGAATTAGAGATGGGGATGAATATAAAAATGGATTGGTTTTTCTGACGAATATAGCAGATTCATTAAATATTTGTCGATCTGTATTTGTGGGTTCCAGAGCCTCCCACAAATATGAAGGGATGAATATTTACCCATTTTTTCATCCTTTGTATTAAAAACAACAACAAAAACACCATTCTGTCTACCGGCCACCGATCACCTGATTAGCGGCAGAAAGGCAACCACCACCCCACACAGCCACCCAATACGACAGCCTACCCCACCTCCTTCCTTTCCCTAGCTTAGGCCCCACACCACCCCCACTGACACCCTCTTACCTTAATTGCTACTGCCAAGGTCTTCTGCCTTGGAGCCATGCATATAAAAATGGAGGCTGGCTGCCCTTTGTAAAAATGGCAGCTGCAGCTTCATTTAGGATAGGGAAGCTGCAGCTGCCATGTTTGCAAAGAGCAGCCTGGATTCCATTAACCTGTTTTAAGGGAATACAGGCTGTACTTTGCAAAGATGGCAGCTGCAGCTTCCCTACCGTAAATGAACCCACAGCTGCCATCTTTGCAAAGGGCAGCCAGACCCCTTTTTTACATGCTGTGGCTGCGAAGGCCTGATGGAGACCTCGGCAGCAGGTATTAAGGTAAAGGGGTGTCGGTGGGAATGGGGTGAGGGCTATGGTAGGGAAAGGAAGGGGTTGTGGGGATAGGCTGCTGGGGTGGCTGCCTATCGGCTTCTGATCAGTTGATCGGAAGTTGGTAGGCAGAATGGGCTTCTGTGCTGTGTGGTAAACTCTCCTGGGGGGACCCAATTTGTGGGTGAATAATTCGAATGTCCAATATCCAATCTTCACCAAAGTTGTTAGACATGTTGGGGAAAGACATAGGAAGCTCTGTTGTGACTTTGGTGTCTCTAAGTACCTGGAGGGAGCTTTCCTGGGGGGGTTTATCTTAAGTCGGTAGGCAGAATGGGCTTCTGTGCTGTGTGGTAAACTCTCCTGGGGGGACCCAATTTGTGGGTGAATAATTCGAATGTCCAATATCCAATCTTCACCAAAGTTGTTAGACATGTTGGGGAAAGACATAGGAAGCTCTGTTGTGACTTTGGTGTCTCTAAGTACCTGGAGGGAGCTTTCCTGGGGGGGTTTATCTTTGTGACTATATAACTCAGGGGTCCATGATCTAATGTTCACCAAACTTTCAGAAATTGTAGAAACACGTCTGAGGAAGCTTCCCTGCAAACCTGGTGCCTCTAGGTTATTGGGGGGGGCAATGTTATAGGCCAGGCTCTTAGTTCCTGATTTCTGGGCCTTCATCAGGGTGGCCACCTTCAGCCCGGAGAGAATGGGTGGTGCTGATAGAAGATCTTTCAGAGAGATGCTCCAACAGGTATCAAGGTCCCAAACTATTAAAGGCCTTATATTACAGTATTAATACAATGAATTTGGCACAAAAGCACATAGAGAGCCCGTGCAAACATGCCAGGTTTGGGGAGATGTCATATTTCAAGGCCTCTTCAAAACCAACCTGTAGCTTCTGTATCACCTTAAAGGCAGCCCCACATAAAGAGTGTTGCACTAATTGACCCACGAGATTACCAATGCATGAACTAGTCAGCGATTTCATCTCCAGATAGAGCCACAACTGTGCAGTCTGCTGAAACTGGAAAAAGACAGACCTGGACAGAGCAGAAATTTGCATCTCCGTAGAGAGAACTGGGTTGAGATGCACACCCAAGTTGGAGATTTGATCATTACAGAGAACTTAACCCCATCCACACCAGGTAAAATACCACCTAACCAGTCGGGTTCCCATCCCAATAGCAAGATTTCTGTCTTGTCAGGATTCATTTCACTCTGTTAGCCCTTGTCCAACACATTATTGGAACCAAGTCGTGCTCCAGGGTCTGCACAGCTTCCACTGCTGAGCTGCATCTCATCAGCATATTGATGACCACAAACTCCAAATTGCTGGATTACCTCCCCCAGTGACCTTATGAAGATGTTAAAGAGCATTAGGGAGGTGATCGACCCCTGTGGAACTCCACAATGTAGAATCCACAAAGTTGAGACAGTTTCCGCAAGCTGCGCCATCTGGATACGGCCATTAAGAAATGACCAGAGCCAGTGTAATGCTAAGCCTTCAATCCCAAGCTCAATGGTCTATCCAGAAGGATACCATGATCAATTGTATCAAAGGCCACTGAGTGATCTAGGAGGACAAGCAAAATTACACTCCCCTGGGCAATCAAGCTTAACAGGTCATCAAGCAGAGTATCTCAGTATCATGGTGTGGCCTAAACTACAATTGGAATGGTTTAAATTCCTGAAATAGTTCAAATAAGAGGTTAAAAATTATGGCTGATTGCAGCCAAGTCATTCACTTGCAGATAGGTTGTAGGAAACATTCCAGCCAAAAAGTGCTCCATGCATCAGAAATTACTTGGATCCAGGATCTTGTACATCTTGTGATTGAGGGGTGATACAACTTTTTAAAGGGTTATTGTCACTGTTTTTTATGTTTCTATTTTTATTTTATTTTATTGTTTTCTATTATGTGTTGTAACATTCCCAGAGTAGAGCTTTGACCCCCCCCCATCAGCAAATGGGATCCCATTCATTCAATCTAAGTAATTACCTGCCATCAGTACCTTCCTTACTATGATCAGACATTGGTCAAGCACACATGGCTACAAGTGGCTCTGAAGAGAGAATACCAAAAAGCACTATGGCACCTTAAAAATTAGAAGCAAGGAATACTCATTCATTACTTTGAATGAGTTCAAATCTCCAGAGCTGGATGAACTAGGTGGGTGAAGTACTAGATGAATGGAGGAGGGATAACATTGTCCCTATCTTCAAAAAGGAGGAACATGGGGACCACAGACCATTCAACCTG